GTCAAATCCTTTAAGATAAAGAAGAAAAAAAATAAAAAAGGAAACAATAAACGAAAGTAACAGCTAGCTATCTTTAAAAAATAATAAAATATTCATTTGACATCTTGCTTTTGGGATGTCAAAAGTAACAGCTAAACCTCCAGCCTTCATTCCACATCAGTTTTGACAATTTGGTTGGAGTGATATGAGATGTTATTTCTAGTAATTAAATATCTATGTGGCACTTTTGACATATCGGTCGGAGATGCTCTAAGCAGTTAATGACCGAATCCTGAGTCATGAATTAGAAGTTCTTGTGTTGTTTTGGTTCTCTTACAGTATAGCATGTTGCAAATATTTATTCTAGTTTGTTGTCATAGTTAGAGGTGAAATTATTGGAATTAGTTTGTCATAGTTAGATATGGAATTATTGCAATTAGCACTTTGTTTTCTTTTGTTTACTTTTTTTTTTCTAAATATTTTATAACTTTATATTACATAGGAATGAGAGCACCAGGGTGAGAATTTAGAAAGATTGAGAAAATTGAACTTAGAAGTTTGAGAAACTAAAAGAATGAGAGCACCACCACAAAAGAAATGAAGATTTTAGAGAGATTGAGAAAATTGGAACTTGAAATTTTAGAGAATAAAGCTTGATAAGTTAGAAAATTGAATGAAGAAGTATAGTATTTAATTGAGTATTATATTTATTATTTATGATATTTATTGTCAGGGCAGGCCGGGCCAAGACAGGCTTAACTGGGCCTGGGCTACGAGCTAAACTAAGATTTCAAACCCTTAGCCCAATTCCTATCCAATCTTAGAGCGGGATGGGCCGAACGAGCCTAAACAATAGGTAGGGCAGAACATGCCTAAACAACGGGCAAGGTCGAGCTTTGGATTAGGTCTCGTACTACTGACTTCGAACAATGGGCCGTAGGCGAGATGGTGATCTTAGTCTGAGTCATGAATTCGAAGTTCTTATGTTGTTTTGGTTCTCTTACACTAGAGCATGTTACAAATGTTAACCGAGTTAGCCTTAGAAGGGCTCAAATAGGCGAGGCCTGGAGAACTAAATTAAGAAATTAAGAGAGCTAATTTCAAAATGTTCAATAATTGGTTTTCCACATTGTTGTATGTGTCTTAGTTACGGTTCATCATTGGGTTGGGCTGTATGGATTTTTTATTTAAATTTTTTGGGTTGGGCTGGGCAGGGCCAAGGTTTCAAATGTCAACACCCGGGCCTGCCCATGGATCGAGATGAGCCAGGCCTTTTTTTTTCCTTTTTTTTTGTTGACTTTTTATTTATTTATAATTTTATATTACAAAGGAATAAGATCACCAACACCATGAAGGATGAGAATTTAGAGAGATTGAAAAAATTGGAGCTTGAAATTTGAGAAACTAAAAGAATGAGAGCACCACCACCAAAGGAATGAGGATTTAGAGAGAATGAGAAATTGGAGCTTGAAATTTGAGAGAATTATTATATTTATGGTCATGCCGGGTTGGCCCTATTCGGACTTAATCAAGCTGGGCCTAGAATTTATGGCCAAGGTTTCAAACTATTGGCCCAAGCCCTACCCAATCTTAGAGCGGGCCTAAATAAAGGGCTAGGCCAGGCTTTTGTCCATCGGACCTCGGGTTATTGACTTCGCCCCATAGGCCGTGGGCCAAATGGTGATCCCGGATACACACTCATCAATTAGATAACGATCCCCTATTCTAAACCAAACTACTAATCGGAATGATTGGTACCATTATGAATTCAACCAACCAATTTTAGGTTGTGAAGAATAGTTCATATAGATCGTGGAATTCATATTCCACCAAAATGGTAGAAGATGAGTCTCATCAAGAATTATTGAAGGACTATGTAATGAATAAGACACTTGGTTATTAACATTAATGTAAACTTGGGAGCATGAGATATATGCTAGAGTTATTATTTGTACCATAAGCAACTGAGCACATTCGACCCTGGGAGACTGGCACGTACCCACAACTTGTTGAAGGTAAAACACATCTAAGCCAATCCCCAAAACACTGATGACATCATCATGATCCCCGCCTGCCCAAGAGACACTTTCCTCCGACAAGGAAATTGCCTACCGAAGGCGATGGACAAGGCTGTCAAAGTATAGAAAGTCTTGGACATGCATCGCCACCTCAATGGTTTGAACAAAGTCTCACATCAAAACTTTGCGTAAACTCCCACTTTCATTTCTCCATTAAAGAGGAATTGTGCCTAAATAAAAAGGTAACCACTTTGGTACTGAAGCTGTTGTACCAGGGGAGATTGGCCCGCCTTCCTACCGAACATCAGGATATGACGCTGAAGCTAATGACGAGAAGTTGGCTTTGAACCTAGACCTCATCAACAAGCTTCATGACCAGGCCAACATGCGCAACTTTGCTTACAAGCAGTGTGTTGCCAAGTACTACAACTCTCATGTGCAGCCTCATGCCTTCAGACTTGGAGATTAGGTCATGCGCAAGGTTTCAATGGCAACCAAGAACTCTGCTGAAGGTACCCTCCGCCCAACCTGGAAAGGACTATATGAATCACCCTAGCACTTATCAGCTTCACGATTCCAACGGCAAGCCCCTACCTCATCCTTGGAATGCTAATCACCTTGAGTATTACTACGAATAAACTGTATTTACCTTTGGCACTTACGTTTTCAAGTTCTCCTACACCTGTAACACCTATGTTTTAAGCTTTATCAAGCTTCTTATGTATTTATGCCTTTCGGCATCTATCTATTTAATAAAATGCCTGACTTTGGCTCATTTGTACTCACTACTTAACTTTGACATACATTTAGTATTGTCAATTAGCAAGACACTTGAACAATAGATAAAATAACAAAATAACTTTGCCTTGTGGCAATGCAAACAATCCATACAAAAAAGGAGCACCATATTGACACTCTCAACTATTTAGATAAACTAAATATGTTACAACAAAATAGATCTAAGTTACAAGCCCTTAAGCTTCGATAGACCCATCTTGGTTTGCTCCAGTAGTCTCTTGTGCATCCACGACCAGATCATTCCCCTTGCTTCGGCTTTAGCCTCGACCTCATCGGCAAGACTAGCAAAGGGAATTAGCTAAGGAGGTGTGCCGTTGGTGTCTAAGTTAATATTAAGCGTGGGGTTAAACTTTGCCACAGTATCCTCCCAGATGACCTGCTTATCCACTAACCTATCCAGGATGTAGCTCTTCAGCTCATCTGACGATCGGTATTCCTTGATCACCTAGGCACTTGCCGCGACAATCTCTTCGGTAATTTTTTGCTCTGCTTCGGCCTGAGCTTGTTATGATGTCACGACCCTCTTCCTCAGTTCTTCCAATTATTCAGAAAATTACTGATACATGGCACGCTAGTGAACTTTGCATGACGTCACACCTACCATTCGGCAAGCTCCGAGCCAAACGTGCAGGAGGACTTATGCACGACCTATGCATGCTGTCACACGTCTCATTCGGCAAGCTTCGAGCTAAACGTGCAGGAGAATTCATGCATGACCTGTGCATGATGTCACATCAAAAGTTCGGCAAGCTCCATACCGAATATGCAGGAGGACTCATGCACGATCTTTGCATGACGTCACACCTACCATTTGGGAAGCTCCGTGCTCACTCATGCACGTCCTATGCATGACGTCACACTTGCCATTCAGCAAGCTCTATGCCGAACTTGCATAAGGACTCAGGCATGACCTTTGCATGACGTCACATCTGTCGTTCGACAAGCTCTGTGCTGAACATGCAAGAGGACTCAAGCATGACTGGTGCATGATGTCACACCTACCGTTCGGCAAGCTCCGAGCCGAACGTGCAGGAGGACTCATGTACGACCTACGCATGACGTCACACTTGCTGTTCGGCAAGCTTCGTGCCTAATGCTTAAGAGGACTTAGGCAAGACCTTTGCATGATGTCACACCTACCATTCTCCATTTACAATACGAACTTCGTACGAACTTGAAATGACCAACTTCTTTGACCAATTGATTTCAGCCAAACATGCAGGATGACTTGCGCATGACCTATGCATGACGTCACACCTGCTGTTCAGCAAGATCCATACTGAATGTGCAGGAGGACTCGTGCACAACCTTTGCGTGATGTCACACCTACCGTTCGGCAAGTTCCGTGCCGAATGTGTAAGGGACTCATGCAAGACCTTTGCGTGACATCACACCTGCAGTTTGGCAACCTCCGTGTCTAAGGTGCAGGATGACTCATGCACAACCTTTGCGTGATGTCACACCTGCCTTTCAATAAGCTCTATGTTGAACGTGCAGGGGAATTTTTCACAACCCGTTCAGGACGTCACACCCACCACTCGACAAGCTTTGCTTCAAACGAACGGGAGACTGTCACGCGATATGGTAATGTCGTACCTGGGGAAGGCCCATGGCCCAAGCCCGTTGTGCAACATTCAAGCCATCTATGTCGAAGGCCCACAGTCCAGACCATGCCCAGTTACCTCATCGCCGAAGTGACTCCTAGCTTGAAAACTTGGGGGAGTATGGGACTGCTTATGACGGCCGTCATGTTGAATCCCTCGGTCTGATTATTTAATGATTTACAAGTTCTCAACACAGAAGCCACTTCTTGATCGGCAACTTGGGGGACTACTGTTTGTACCATAATCAACCGATCACATTCGGCATTGGGAAACTGGCGCGTAGACAAACCCACAGCTTGCCGAAGGTAAACCACTTCTAGGCCAATCCCCAAAACACTAATGACATCATCATGATCCCCATCTACCGAAGAGACCCTTACCTCTGATACGGCAATTGCGTGCTGAAGGCGATGTCCGAAGCTCTCAAACTATAGAACCTAAGCCTTGGACACACGTCGCCACCACAATGGTTTGCATAAAGTCCCACATCGAAACTTTATGCAAACTCCCACTTTCATTTCTCTATAAAAGAGAAATAATGCCCAAATAAAAGGGTAACCACTTTTCATCTTTATTGTTACTCTGCCAAAATTACCACTTATCACACTCTAGCTGACTTAAGCATTGGAGAGCCTTTAGCTGGCACCACACTGGCATCTGAAGCTTGACGATCGTTTCTTCTGTCCCATCTCCTCCCCGCCGAAGGGTCACTTAGTAGAGACTGAATCCTTCCATTCTCCTGGTGAAGACTCCACGCTTCATCCATTTAAGTTGAACCCGATTTTAGACATCAACAATTTGAGTATGCATCTCGAATTAATTAGGGGTTAGCGAATATGCACAAGATGTTATATAATTTTATGCAATTAAGCTTATTTGTATGAATCTAAATTGGACAATGTGAAGGTACGGGTCATAAAGGTGATCCACTAACATCGAAAAAAGAAGATTACAAAATAAAACTCCATGAAACTTATATTCTCAGCAGTTGAAAACCTCACAAATAAAACTCCATGACATCCCCGTTCATGAAATCTATAAAGATAAAGCTTAAAAGTTTTATTTACCATTCAAAAACTATGACCAATAACCAAACTTTCCAACTTTTGTTCACATGAAAATCTCATGATCGATGTACACGATGATGAAGATTTGAGGAGGCGATCGATGCCCTGGTCGTACTATCATTGGGACGATTATTCCCTTTAATTACTGTTCACCTGTTTTGTGATCACTCCTGTGGTGGAAGGGCAAAGTTCCCCACTGCCTTGAAAACCATTGACTGGTTAGCAAGTCAGCTTTCTTTGGTATATGAGCGTGCCACTGCTAGCAATGAAGATTCTAGCAGACTTATTCTAGAATAGATAACTTGCGCCCCAAGCTACTGATTTCCATAAACAAGCGATTGTGAATTTGGGTGAGGAATATCTTCCAAGTAAGTTCTTTTCTTGCCTCAAACTGGTGAGGACTTTAACAATTTATCTCAGTATAAAGAGGTTGCTTTGGCCAGAATGGTTGATGGAATTGAAGCTGTTTTAGGCAGAACTGCCTTTTACAAAACTATAAACACAAATATCCAAGCTAGAAAGATGAAAGGACAACTGGAACTCCATTTTTGCCTGGATAGGAGGTTCTGATCCGGGCTGGACTGGAAATATCTGGGCTGGACTAGACTGTTAACAACTTCAGCTGCTAAGCTTCAGCTGTAGATCGATACCAAAGGTTAATTTTGGCAGAGCTTTAATACACTTCAAGCTTTTGTGAGGCTTCTAAGTGGGCAGAACTGTGGCTTCTTCAGTCTGTAAGGACAGAAGTAGCTGTTCTCGAGGACTTCAGTGGGCTAGAGACTGCACTGTAAAATTTGTTGAGGTTTTCATGTTTGGGAAAAGCTCAAGCTCTACCTGTCTTGGTTTTTTGCTCAACCAAATTTGTAACGAGAGAAATCTCGTTTTAAATGACTTATTTTCTAAGTCTGAACCTTGGGAATTCTGATCTAAAGCTGGTTTTCACTTGGAATTCAAGTGAGCTTCTGGTTGATTTTGAGTTGTTTATTTGGTTGATAACTTGAGTGTTGGATTGATTGTCTTTGCCCTGTTCACTCCTTCTTGTATTTATAAGAGATGTTATCTGGAGTAGGGTAATTCTTTTAAATAATGGGCGGCAATTTTCTTTAGAAAGATCTTTCATTTTTAATTGTAAAGAAAGGGGGTTTTGATCAATTTCTGGTAGATAAACTCTCAATAGTCAGTTCTTAAGATCACTTCCCTATATTTTTCAAACTGTGATGGTTAGTTTGATCTTTCATTTGAACAACTCCCTGTCTTCCTGCTTATCTCCTTTTGAGAACATGGTCTGCTTATCTCTTGGGAGAATCACCCTTTTTGGAGAAAAAATATTATTTCCAAATATGTAAAAAGGGATCTGATGTTCTGATGGCAGAGATTCAGAGAAGTCTTCTCCTAGCCATCTGCTTTTGTTAATCCCAGTTGAAAATATTGACTTTTCTAAGTCAGAAACATCACGTGGGCCTGTTCCTATTTTGGTTTTCTTTTTTTTAATAATGGCAAACCCAAATTTGAGTTGAACCATGAACTGATTCCTTTCTTTTCTCTATTTCTCCGAGGCCCAGGTTTTGCGTTCTTAGATACCTCATGAGCTGGGCTTCTTTTCGATGTGGGCCCTTGATTATAATTTGGGTCCTGAATTGCCTGGTTTTGTTTTTGTCTCATCCTTATGGGCCTCCAATGCTAGGCTGAGTGTGTGTTTTGGCCCAATTTCAGGGAATGCAGGTGGCTGTCCAAAAATTGTCATGGGCTTTTGTTTTCCTTGGGCTCTGTGTCAAATTAGGCCCAAACAATTACTTATTAAACTTGGTCGTTTCCTCTGGATTCATCTTCATTGACAGTTGGCACGTGCATGCACTAGTAAAAAAAACCCCTTGCGCGACCAAATTTTGCACGACGAAAAATTATTCATCACTCAAAGTCACTTTGCGCTACGAAACTCAAAACTTCGTCGCTTAAAGTCTTGCCCTACCAAATTTTGCGTGATGAAAAACAATTCGTCGCTCAAAGTCACTTCGTGCGACAAACTTTTGGGCGACGACAATACATTGTCGCTCAAAGTCTTGCGCGACCATATTTTGCGCGACGAAAAATAATTCGTTGCGCAAAGTCACTTTGCGCGACAAACTTTTGCGCGACAACAATACATCGTCGCTCAAAGTGACTTTGCGCGACAAAACAATAAACTTCGTCGCGCAAAGTCCTTATAAAAGTAAATAAAATAAAAAAATTATTTTTTAAAATCTTTGCATGACGTAATCCAAACATTTCTTCGCCTAAACCAATTTATTTTTATTTTTTATTTTGTATGCATAAAACTTAAGAAATTAAACGGTATATATATTTATTAACTAGCTTTAAATTTATTATTTTAGATCGGATCGGATTTTTGTTAGAAAAATATATTATTGTTGTTCGGATTGGGTTTTTGTTAGAAAATATATATTTTAAATTGACGATCGAATTAGTTCATTGTATTAATATAGGGTCAAAGAGTTTAGCTGTAAAAAATCATCAAAATCGGAGTTAAAATAACCGTTAAATCGTGATATTTCATTATAACCGTCGAAAAGTTTTATCCAATTACTTGATCTTTGAATGTTTATTTTTTCCCATTTTTGGCGTATATGATCTCGAAGTATAAACAAACAAGTTTGACGGTTGGATCGTTGAAACTAGTTTTTTTGAATGCATATGCCATCAAAACAATATATTCACTAACAATTAAGAGTTTATTTATACTTTCGTTAAATATAACATAAGATTTTGTGATATCCACTAGTGTAAATATTTTAAATTGAAGATCAAATTCAGTCATTGTATTCATATAGGGTCAAGGAGTGTAGCTGTAAAAAATCATCAAAATCGGAGTTAAAATAACCATTAAATTATGATTTTTCATTTATAATCGTCGAACAGTTTTGTCCCATTACCTGATCTCTAAATGTTTATTTTTTCTGATTTTTGGCGTATATGATCTTGAAGTATAAACAAAAAAGTTTGACGGTTGGATTGTTGAAAATAGTTTCATAGAATATGTGTGCCATCAAAACAATATATTCACTAACAATTAAGAGTTTATTTATATTTTCGTTAAATATAACATAAGATTTTGTGGTATCCACTAGTGTAAATATTTTAAATTGGCGATCAAATTCAGTCATTGTATTCATATAGGGTCAAGGAGTGTAGTTGTAAAAAATCATCAAAATCGGAGTTAAAATAACCATTAAATCATGATTTTTCATTTATAACCGTCGAAAAGTTTTGTCCTGTTACTTGATCTCTAAATGTTTATTTTTTCCGATTTTTGGCGTATATGATCTCAAAGTATAAACAAACAAGTTTGACGGTTGGATCGTTGAAACTAGTTTCGTAGAATGCATATGCCATCAATACAATATATTCACTAACAATTAAGAGTTTATTTATACTTTCGTTAAATATAACATAAGATTTTGTGGTATCCACTAGTGTAAATATTTTAAATTGAAGATCAAATTCAGTCATTGTATTCATGTAGGGTCAAGGAGTGTAGCTGTAAAAAATCATCAAAATCGGAGTTAAAATAACCATTAAATCATGATTTTTCATTTATAACCGTCGAAAAGTTTTGTCTCGTTACTAGATCTCTGAATGTTTGTTTTTTGCAATTTTTGGGGTATACGATCTTGAAGTATATACAAACAAGTCTGATGGTTGGATCGTTGAATGGTGTGTGTGTATATATATATATTTATTAAGTAGCTTTAAATTTATTTATTTTGTACATATAACACTTAAGAAATTGAATAGTATATATATTTATTAAGTAGCTTTAACCTTATTTATATTTTAAATCGTAAAATAAAATTATTTTATTTTTTATTATTCATAAGAATTATTCTTATAAATATTGTGCTACGAACCAATTTTTCGTCTCTCAAAAGTTTGCACGACCAACAATTCGTCACGCAAAACTCTAAAAATTTGGGCGGGTACCAAAAATGGGGCGCGGGATTCAAAAAAAAAATTTTTTTTAGACTTTGCATGACCAATTTTATTTTGTGGCGCAAAAATTTGGGCGAGTACCAAAAATGGGACGTGGGAATTTTTTAGACTTTGTGCGACCAATATTTATTTTTTTTCGCACAAAAATTTAAAAATTTTGGCGGGTACCAAAAATGGGATGTGGGAATTTTGCGCGACCAACAATATTGTTCGTCGCGCACAGTGATACGGTTTTTAAAACCGAAATAACTCCTCCACCATTTTCTCAATGTCTTTCTCTACTCTTACCTCTTCTCTCTCTTTCCCTCTCCCCAAATCCCACCCTTTCTCTCACACTCACTCCTCTCACTTAATCTCTCGTCTCTCTCTTCACTATCTCTCACTCTCACTCACTCTCTCATCTCTCTTTTCACTATCTCTCACTCTCACTCACTCTCTCATCTTTCTATCACTATCTTCTCTAATTCTCTCACACTCACTTATCCCTCTCATTCTCGCTCACTCTCAATCTTGCCAAAAGGTATATTCTCTCCAAATTTTAAATTTTTTTTTCATTAATATGTGTTTTTGGAGTTAGTTTTGAGTTTGTGTGTGGTTTGTGGTTGAGTAAATGGGAGGGATTGGAGTTTGGGTTGGATTTGTGGTATAACAATTTTAGGGGAGATTATGCCTTTTTTGTTGTTGTGGTTATTTGACCATATTTGTATTTTTTGTAGGGAATCATCGAGACTTTGACGGCTAAAGTTGAGGATTAGGAAGCTATCAAAACATATCATCCGCCACTACCACCACAATATGCTTGTATTAGGATTTTATTATTGTACTTTGTTAATTTATGTGTACATTTTGAATATTATATATATATATATTTATTGGATAATTTGATCACCATTTTTCATATGTAATTTATTTTGAATATGTCAATTTAAATTAAAATAATTAAAAAAATCATACAATTAAATTAAATTGAAAAAGTAAAAATTTGAAAAAATTAATATAATTAAATTAATATCAAAGAAATAATAAAACAAAAAGTCAAAAATTCGTTTATTTTAATTAAAAAAATTTAAAACACAAAAAATATTTCGTCACCCAAAATGCTAAAAATTTGGGCGGGTACCAAAAATGAGACGCGGGAATTTTTAATTTTTTTAAGACTTTGCGCGTATTTCGTTGCGCAAAACTTTGCCAACCAATGTGTTTCATCGCCTAAACCTTTGTGAGACCAATGTGTTTTGTCGCGCAAACCTTTGTGCGACCAATGTTTTTCGTCGCGCAAAACTTGTGCGACCAATATTGTTTCGTTGAGCAAATTGACTTTGCGCGACCAATGAAAAACTTGGTCGCGCAAAGTCTTTCTTCACGATCTTTGCGCGACGAATTCTGCGCGACGAAGCTTCTATCGCGCTGAAATTTGTGCGACTATAATGTATTTTGTGCGACGAAATTCTCTTCGTCGCGCAAAGTGTAAAATGTAGTAGTGATGGTAGATTTGTAAGATTTCCATGTGAATCATATGTAATCTTATATATATAGAGAGTAGCCCTTAATTAATTTGATTAAGGCAAAAAATTATATTAGGGAAGAGTCTTAAACGTTCACTTTGACTAAGGAGGTGGCAAACTGAAAACGATTTTACTGTTGTGAAAAATAAATATTAAAGAAGGTGCCTCTGATTGGAAGGACATCTCTAGCTAGAAAATAAAAGAAAAATTAAAAGAACAACTAGAAATGCTTACATATGATTCACCTTATTGTAATTAAAATCGTTTTGTTTGCAATAGTTGAAGCAAGAAAATTATCTTACTAACTCATTAACTCATAATTTTTTTTCTTATTTTTAAAAGACGGAGGTTGGACTAATTAAGTTTGTTAAAGTAAGAGTACTGAAATATTTTAATTAGTAGGCCACGGATACGGGTATATCTGTGGTTTATTTGGAGCTTTTCTAGTAGTGACTGGAACTAAAATTTGTACAAGTTCAGAGGAAGAAAGGTATTAAGCATATGAAGTATTGAAAATTACAGTGGTGGATTTCTATAATGAAAGGTGATCAGGAAATTAATTAAACCAAAGATTTTCATAATTTCGAATGTAAAGTTGTCTGAAAATTGTTCATTTGAGAGTTTGAAAAGATAAAATAAAGCATAGCAAATGAGCAAAGTAACTAATAGGAGTTGTGTAGTTTATAACATTATCTTGGTGCTGCCGCCCAAATTCATTCTCATTAGTTCAACGGTAAGTATCCTACCATGGTGGTAAACATAAAACCAAAGAAATATTACAATTTTCCATAATATACAATTGCTTTTGAACACATATGTATATATAGATAATATATATGTCAGCTAGCTAGCTAGGTTTCCTTCAAATATTTGAGTGGAGCTCTCTCAAAGAAATATTAAATTAAAGAAATTAGTGTCACATACATAAATAAAATAAAATAATAAATAAAGACAGTGGATTATAAATATTGAAAAACTAAAGGCAAACAAATTATGGGATAATCATTCGAAATGGGAAAGGGCATGTAGACTAAGCTTTTTCCCGGCCTCATCATATGTGTCATCATGCACCTTTGCTCTTCAACTTTCTCTCTCCTGCCTTCCTGCCCCTCCTCTCAACTTTAACTTTTTACCGCCTCTCAAAATATATTATTCCATTCCTCCTAAAAAGTAGATAATTAAAATGACTGCAACTTAAGAGAGAGAGAGAGAGAGAGAGAGAGAGAGGGAGAGATCATATCTTGTATATATTATAGCTTTTGTTGTTAGGGTTGAAACCGCATATAATAACACCATTACTCTTGGGTTTTCTTCCAAATCACAAGTCTCTAACTAATGCTATTCTTGGTGAGAGCTTGTCTTTTTCTTGTCAAGGTGTCCTATAGATTGAGTCAAAACTGAGAAGAGAAAGCCTTGAATGTTTGAAACATGGCTTTAAATGAAGAATCAATTCCACCAATGAATGGGTTTGTTCAAGACCCAGCTGTTGGATCCATTAGCCCTCTTCCTCCTCCTCCTCCTGCGAAAAAGAAGAGAAACCTCCCAGGAAACCCAGGCAAGCTTCTTTCATTTCCTAGTCAATTCATTTTTAATTATTTTCTGTTTTTTCCATGTATGTACATACATATGCTTATATACATACGGATGTACAGATCCTGAAGCTGAAGTAATAGCCTTGTCTCCAAAGACTCTGATGGCCACCAACAGATTCTTGTGCGAAATATGTGGCAAGGGCTTCCAAAGAGATCAAAACCTGCAGCTCCATCGTCGCGGCCACAACCTTCCATGGAAGCTGAAGCAGAGAACAAACAAAGAACCGAGGAAGCGCGTGTATGTGTGCCCTGAAAAGAGTTGCGTCCACCACCACCCGTCCCGGGCTCTCGGAGATCTGACGGGCATCAAGAAACACTTCTGCCGGAAACATGGGGAGAAGAAGTGGAAGTGTGACAAGTGCTCCAAGCGATATGCCGTGCAGTCAGACTGGAAGGCTCACTCAAAGACCTGCGGCACTCGGGAGTACAAATGTGACTGTGGGACTCTATTTTCACGGTATATACACTCCTATTTTAATTCATTCATTTCCTAGATTAATTTTAATTTTATAGATATTGGTTTCAATTATATATGCGTTAATATATGTGTTGTTATATATATATATATATATATACAATTTTTTTTAATTATTATTTGTTTTTACAAAATTAACTCAAATGCATTTTCAATGAATGGTCAATTTTTATTTATTTATTTACATTTTGTGAAGTGCTCTTTTCCATTTTTTTAAGAGCCTCTAATAATTAGTTTCTATTTTCCAATTTAGTTGATGTGAGTTCAGTTTTGTGTAATATATAATTTTGTGGTTGACATGCAGGCGTGATAGCTTCATCACTCACCGGGCCTTCTGCGATGCGTTGGCTGAAGAAACAGCTAGAGTAAACGCAGCATCCAATATGAACAACATTCCGATGGGTGGCAATATCAATTATCAGTACATGGGATACTCAATCGGAGCAGTAGCAGGGCCGAATAATAACATCACGGCACAGCAATATTTTTCTTCCATTTTCAAGCCAATGATCTCAACCCCTAACAACATTGATGATGAGGCATCCCGCGGGCTGTCTATATGGATGATGGGCGGCAATAACAATTACAATAATAATAAGAATCATGATCATCATCGTCATTGTCCTCCACCGTCGGATTATGATCAGATAAATAATTGGGTTGTTGGAAATAAGCAGCTGATTTCATCACCATCACCTTATTCAATCTCAAACAGCAATGCTCCTCATCATCAAGAAAGCATTACTTGTACTAGCACTACTAGTAGTAGTTGTTCTAGTTCATCGCTTGCTTTAATTAGCAATAATATAATAAGTGATGTTCCTTCCTTGTACAGCAGTAAAATGTCAGCCACGGCTTTGCTGCAGAAAGCAGCACAAATTGGGTCAACAACTTCGAGTGAGGCGCCATTGCTGGGGAGTTTTGGGATGAATAATATCAGCAAAGTTTGTGGGCTCTACGGAGTTACTAGTCCGGATGATCATGGTCATGATCATCATGCCAAGCGCCGCAGCATACAGAATTGTAGTGCGGCTACTACTACTACTACTAATGATCATCATCATCATCAAGAAACTATTGCTGCAGGAGGAGGAGGTGGTCAAACTAGGGATTTCCTTGGTGTTGGTGTGCACGCCATTTGCCACTCATCATCACCATCAATAAACGGGTATTGGACTTGATGAATTTTTTGTTTGTTTTTTCTCATCAAACTATATGGACAAGAAAATGTTTTAGTAGAGCTAATATTGTAATAAAGAGAAATGAGATGAAGTACTACTTGAGAGAGAGAGACGTAAGAAAGGAAGGGTCGTTCCCACATAGATTGTAATCTAAAGAGGTGTTTATCAATGTCACACAACGAAAACTAAAACAAACACGAAAACAAAAGAAAGTTGAAGCCACAAGGACTTCCACACACACTCCACACCAAGGGGGTTTTGATTTGATTTTGTAAATCAAAGCAAGGAAAAGAAAAGAAAATTTAAATTAGACTTTGAGAAGAATTGGTTTTAAATCTGTCAAGAACAATTGCTAGGACTCACTATCCACCTCCAAACAATCAATCAATTCATAAACAACAATGAATAATCAATTTCTAGCAAGCATATGATGACGACACTCACAACAAGATCATGGCATTTGACTCGAGTTGTATGATTCTCTCTAAGTGTATGTAAAGTGTATGACATTTACATCAATACTTGTATTCTTGATTGAAATCCAATATGGTATTTACTCAAATTAACAATCAAGAATTCATCAAGAGCAAAGAGAATATGACTGTCACAAAAACCCTAAAACATGGCATTTGTTTTTAGGAATTCAAGAATCGATTTCTCATAATTAGTTCTTAACCCAATTATTCGTTGCAAACAAGAACATGGTTCTACAACAATTGAATTCCAATACATGTTTCAAAATTAGCTACTCAAAGAAACAAAATATCATAATTCACACAACATAGAGAAACCAAAATCATCACACTTGTAAAAACTGAAAATTCATTCAAACTTGTTTATAGAATTGAAATCATGTTTAGGGCTTCAAGATTAAGCCCTAACTAATAAGAAATCGGTTACTTATGTTCTTGAATGAAATTGAAAACAAATACATAAGAACTGAAAATTAAAAGAAAAACGAGAAGAAGGAACTCAGCTGCATCTTTCTCTTCTTGTGCGGTTGATGTCCTTAGGACGTGAATCCCTTGTATCGGAGCTTTGGCTAGCCCTTTATATGACTTATATCAGAGTCCTAAACCCTAAAATTGATTGAAAAGTCGTCCAAAAAGTCTTGGTGAACAAGAAATAAAAGTAGGAAAGTAAAGATCACAATTCCTAATTCCATAGGGAAATATAGCTCATCCCTATTGCGACATGATTTGGGGATCTTCCACCTTCTAGAAAAATCTGTAACAATATGATTTAGACATGTATATGTGTTATGTTTCCAACCATATATGGCACGTAGCTTGCCAAATTCGGGAAGGCTTCCGTTTCTTCACATTCAAGCAACATGTACGAAACTGTCCTCTCTGCACGTGGGCTAACTTTACTATGTGGATGATGTGGGAACTAGTTGGATTCTTTGTGCTGGTAGCATTGAAATTTCTCAGCATCGTCGAATTTGGTTGCTTCATCGGCTATTTGGTCATGCCTCCTGGGGATATTTATGACATTTGTTTCTTGCATTATTTAGTGGTGTCAACGAGTCTATTTTCTAATGTTAGACTTATATTTTAGCTAAGAGTCATTAGGTACCCTACCCTTTGAGTTGTAATAAACGCCTTATGCCATTTGATTTAGTTCATTCTGATTTTTGGGATGTTCCCTTATTTCTACTGCATGGGGAGTTTGCTGGTTTGTGTTATTTATGGATGATTGCACTCATATGATGTGGTTATATGGGATGAAAAATAAAAGTGATGTCGTCGATATCTTTCAGCTTTTCTATCAGATGATTCAGACTCAATTTATGCTTCCTATCAAAGTTTTTCAATCTGATAATGGTGGAAAATTTGTTAATTCGGGGTTATCCTTATTTTTTCACACTAAGAATGTCCTCCATGAGACTACTTTCCCTCAAACACCACAACAGAATGGGGTCGCTGAATGTAAAAATGGGCAGATACTTGTGCTGCTCGTGCTCTGTTGCTTGATGCCTCAGTTCCAAAGCGATTCTAGATGGATGTAGTTATCTTTGCAGTCTATCTCTTAAATCGTCTACCTTCACGAGTTCTAGTTTTCTGAGCTCATATGTAGATGATGACCCATCATGTCTCCATCTCTTCTATGCTGACTTTGTCTCCAAAGGTGTTTGGTTGTGTTGTCTATGTTCATCTCCATCTGAATCAGAGGAGTAAGCTAGACCCTTGTGCTCTCCGTTGTGTTTTTCTAGGTTTCTCTCCTCTCCAGAAATGCTACAAGTGCTATCATCCTGCTACTCGACGTCTATATGTTTCTATGGATGTTACCTTCATTGAGGATGAGATGTTCTTCTTTGATACACTTGAACATGTCATTCATAAGGAGACTTGTAGTGAAGGACATAACTGACTAGATTTACAAGGGGGAGTGGTATTGGATGGTTTGATACAAGGGGGGGAATCGGCCAAACCTGCTACACCGGTTAAACTTGCTACACTAGCAGAACCTGTTGTTTTAACTGATGTCACTGCTCTCATTGAACCGATTGCCCCTGTTGCTTCTCAAATAGTACCTGATCGAGCTATTCCTGAGGTAAGTTCTTTTATTGATACTACTGATAATTCTTATATTCTACTGCCCAGATGGAAAAGTGAGGTTCCACTTGATCGTTAGTAACTAGAAGACAAAGCAGGATATGTTATTGCCCATTCTATGTATGATCACATGTTATCTCGTATGTGTAAAGAACAGAATGGATGGTATTAAAATTTCAACCCGTGTTGAGGAGGCGCTGTAGAAAAATAATACATGAGACATTGTTGATAACGAAGTGTTAGGATTCAAATGGGTGTTTACAGTTAAATATAATGCAGATGGTACTGTGGAGAAGTACAAAGCAAGATTAGTAGCTAAAGGGTTCACTTAGACGTATGGAGTTCATTATCATGATACTTTTGCACTTGTGGCTAAGATGAATATTGTTAGAGTTTTGTTGTCCTTAGCAGTAAACTTGGATTAAACCTTGAGACAATTTGATGTAAAAATTGCATTCTCACATGGTGAACTAGAAGAAGAAGTGTACATGAGTCTTCAACCAGGGCATAGCATTACTGGTGACATGGGGAACGTATACAGATTAAAAAGGCGATGTACGGGTTAAAGTAGTCTCCTCAGGTGTGGTTTGGTAGATTTATTGCAGCTATGAAGAAGTTTGGTTACCAATAGGCCAATACTGATCATACTCTGCTCATTAAACATAGGGTTGGTAAGGTGACTCTGTTGATTATTTATGTTGATGATTGTGACTGGTGATGATACTGTAGAAATCGAGGAACTGCAGAAGTGTTTAGCGTTTGAATTTGAGATGAAAGATTTAGGTAGTCTGAAATTTTTCTAGGACTAGAAGTCACTCGATCTAAACAAGTAAACCAGTTGATACACCTATTGTTGAGAATCATAAACTTGGGGTTTGTGTGGATTAGTGATTAGTTCATAATTGTATATCATTTTGTACCCTTCTAGCTTATGATTTGATTATTTTTTGAGTTTTAAGCTTGTGCTTTTAATCTCTTTTTGTTTATCATTTAGTTATTTGAGCTTTAGGTAGCAATAGTAGCTTTGGATAGGAAAAGATGCAAAATGGTGCAAAAACTTGTAGACTGAGTTAGCAATTCGCTTCGGCCTTAACATCTTCATCCGACCTTGGATTATCCCAAATAACATGTGGTTGGAAAGATGGCATTCTGAGCTTCAAGATGGATAGCTCAAAGTCATTAGTTGCTTAAGGGAAGCCCAATTCGTGAGCCCACAGATTTGCTAGTCATGCTAACTTAAGGATGAGCTGATTGTTGCTTGGTCATGATTAGCTATGGTTTTTGGTGGGATTTGTTAGTGAAGTGCAATAGCCAAATCAATTTAGAATTTTATTGCATTGGTGTGTTAGGTAAGGTTGGTGAAGTGAGTGTTGTTAGTGAAGGCATAAATCAATTCAGAATTCTCCTTTCATTCTCCCTATAAATACCACTTCCATCCCACACCAAAGGAAGATCCACATTGTTGGATTCACACTCCCACAATTCATCCATCCTTCACTCCATTCTCCACACTCCCATCATTCCCCAAACACATTCAAAAACCACCTCCTAGGATTCACACTCCCACAAACTGCTCCATCCTTCACTCCATCTTCCACACTCCCATCATTCCACATTCATAAATGACCCTCAAACACTCCAACAATCAACCCAAAGCTCTAAACAGCCCCAAATCACCAAAACTATCCCAGCAAGCCTCTCTTCCATTTCCATATGAATTTCCTCTTTCTCAACCATCACCACTCACTCAAACTCATCCCAAATCACCTCCTTAACCTTCATACATCCTTCTAGATGTGGGGAAGCTCTTGGAGAAGCATTGGACACCACAAGAACTTCAGAAAATTGTTTTTCTACTCTTATTGCATTAATTATGCTTTCTCATTTCTGTTTAAGTTTACTTCCTATTATGAGTGGATAAATCCATAACTAGGGCTTCGATGTAACCTAACATGAATTTTTTGGGTTTATAAATTTCAAGTTTCAAGTTTGATTCATGATTCATGCTCTTATTCATTGTGCCTACTTGCTTATATGCTAATCGGAATGCCTAGCTACCATTCAGATTTGTGTATTTTGGTTGGAATTAAGAGTAGATACCATATGCTTTAATTCCAATTGAACTATGAATAGGAAGAGTATGTATGGACATTCGACAACAGGGATTAGATACATGTGTGGTTGTTTAAAAAATTCTTCAATGCTTAATAGATTTCTAATGCTGAATTTAGGTTCGACAATAAAGATCTAATTAGGGAATTAGGAATACAAGGTTAGGACCAGACACCATGGCTTAATCATACTTTAGCTAGAATCAATCTTTGAATATGAATTAGACTTGTCACTTGAATCCTTATAACCTATAATTCAATTGTTATGGTGAATCGAATGCCCTAGTCTCCAAAATCTATTTTTCAACCTTCAAAACCACCCTTTGTTGCATTTTCTTACTTCGCTTTTGTCTGCAAATTCATTTTGCTTCATTTGTTTTGACAATCACAATTACTCTCACTTTAAATTCTGTTTTAGACTTAACTTCCTACTTTCTTTAATTTGGTAATCTAAGTACATAATTAAGTTTAACTTCTTAGTCCTCGTGGGTACGACCTCGTACTTGTCTTGCTATCCTACTAATTGGCCCGTACAATTGCGAGTTAACATAACAACAATTAGGTCGCAACTAACAAGGAAAAATACCAACGGTTGGTTGGGAGATTGATCTTTTCATCATTGACATGGCTTGATATTGCCTATGCAATAAGCGTTGCTAGCAAATTTATGCTTTTACCTAATGATGATCATATGGCTACTATGATGCGTATTATAAGTTACTTAAAGTTTGCTCTTGGGAGAGGGTTATTATTTAAGAAAAATGGCCACCTGGATCTAGAAGGTTACACTAACGCAAATTATGCAAGCAATATTACAGATAGACGTTCTACATCTAGTTACTTGATCTTTGTTGGTGGTAACCTAGTTACATGGCATAACAAGAAGCAAAATGTTGTATCTCGTTCCTCTGCAAAGTCTGAGTACCTGAGGGATTGCCCAAGGGGTTTTGTGAAATATTGTGGTTGAGGTGATTAGACCGGATGCTACTACAAAGCTCCATTGTGATAGTCAATTTGCATTTGAAATTGCTAACAATCTGGTGCAACATGATCGAACTAAGCATGTAGAAGTTGATCGTCATTTCATTAAGGATAAGCTTGAGCATAAGTTAATTTCTATAACCTTTGTGCCTACTTCGGAGTACCTTGCAGATATGTTGACCCATGCCGTGCCAAAGCTCCAATTTGAAGACTCATTTGACAAGTTGGTCATTACCGATATCTATGCACAAACTTGAGGGGCAGTGTTGGCATGCCTGATGGGACCTATTATTCTTATGGCTCGAGTATCCAATCCAACGGCCAATATGGTAATCACAACCAAAATTGCCAATATAATTTTACATATCAATATGGCTCTAGTAGCTAATTCAGTGGCCAATATAGTATGATGTATCAAAGTGGTTTGAATGAACAACATGGTTATAATTTCCAGAATAGTCAACTGGTTGAAGGGCAATACACATACTCATATGTCCAAAACAATTTAGCCAATATTTATGATCATCCTAGTTATGGATCCCACCAAACAAATCATATTATTGGCTATAATGACAAAAAATAATATTAACATAGATGAGAGCCCATATGTTGACCGCATGGACAAAGAACATTAAAGTTTGATAAAGGAATCATCTAAAATGAAAGATGTATTTATGGAGATGGTGGATGGGTTTTATGCTTCTAACAAACTTTTGATCCATGTTTATGTGAAATCTCATTGCGACTTGTGATTGAAGAGCAAACTCTTAGCCACAACTAGAAAACCATCAAATGGCTACAATACAGCCACTCATTCTACTTACCCATGTGGAGGAAAACGAGGTTGGCCGACAATATATTAAGGAAAAGGATGTGGATGAATCGTCCTTGGCATTCAATACTCCGACTGATGCACCTTATGAAAACCTCACACTTGTTGACGAAGAGGACGAGCGGAGACTTTGAATGCCAAGGTTGAGCAGAGAAGAGAATGTTGAGCTTCATCAGCAAAATTGGCATAGTCTTTGTCAAGGATGGTTTGGATGGTGGCTTTGGCTGCAATATTTAAGGAGGAATTCTATGAAGAAGTGGTGGCAACCTTTGTTGCAGCTAAGTAATCTCTCATGCCTTGGAGTGACTCCAATATAGCCTCAGAGTGGAGTGATTCTTGGCAAAAGTTTTTGAACAAGTACCTTTTTAGGTTGCAGAACACTCATTTCATGTATTGCAAATGTGGCCGTGCTTTGAATAGGTGGAGCAAATTCAAATTCGACCGGAATCTTCGATGAGGCCATAGTTTTTGAAATCCCAACGATAAGTTCCTACAAAAAAATGAAGGGGAGCACCCATAACAGATAAGGAAGGAAGTTTAACTACAAAAAATGTCTATCTGCATTATATCCTTAAGTGATTCGACTACATTGGAAGGTGAGATATGTTTACCTTGATCATCATTACCTAAGGCCACAACAACGGCCTCATTAACCTCAGCCATGACAGTGTTATTAACGAGATCTCTCTTGGGCTATTTCATTGGAACTTTCTTGAGCCATAAATCATTTACTATTTCATCATCATCTTCATTGCTGCTTGAATCGTACGCCATGCTAGCTTTTCGGCTAGCTACAATTCAAGTAAAATTATGATGTTATTGCATAGCCAAAGAAAATAAATTAGGGGAGAAGCGACAAGGACATACTATGAATGACGAGATTTAGGCCTTGAGACTACTTTAGGCTTGGCCGAAGCAATGGCCTAATCATGACCGGATGAACCCCCTAATTTAAAGCCAAATAATCAAAATAATTACGAAGCTTGAGAATAAAATGCTCTAAGAGAAGTGGGGACATTACCAGTCATGGTTGAATGGTTTGTCTTGATGAGTAGTCTTTTCTTTGGTAATGCTGTAGAAGCGGAACTAATCTTTTTGGCCGCGTTACCTGCAATAGAATAGTTGAGAATCAATCTTTCCAAGTTGGAGCAAAGTAGTTGAAAATCAATCTTTCCAAGTTGGAGCATGTAGCATTTGTCGATGGCCATTTCTAAAAAAGGAGAGAGAGAATCCGTAGGAGGATTTTCTCATATGTTACAGTTCAAATATAGAATGAATTATGCCAACTTGATGGTCAATTGAAGTTATTGTGGGAGAGCTCAAGATGGAAGGAAAATCAAATCAAAGCAAATATTATTATTCCCATTAAATCACATGCATGAGACAAGGGATTGAAGATATTTTGGAGCAATTATGACTGATTTGAAGGTCAATTGATGACTGACCAAATTGAGACACACTGAAGCCTCAATAAATACCAAGCTTTTTAAAGAGAAAAGAGGCCCCAGACACAACACATACACAACTTGTCATTTTACATTCTCTTCAATTTCTATCCTAGGAGTAGCATAATGTAGCCATAGCCTAGTTCTTATTTTTTTCCGCTCTAGTTTCCGTACATTTCAATTATGCCTTTACATTTTTGTTCTTGTTTTTCAATTCTATTTTAATTATAGTAACTTCAATTCATGTTTTCTTTAATGTTCTTCGTAATCTAGTTTACTTTCCACCCTTTACTTTGTGCACTCGCATTTCAATTATTTAATTTATGCAATTTACATTATGCACTCGTGTTTACATTCTTTATTTTACGTACTTTATGTTACGCACTCGTCTTTAAATTATTTATTTTATGCACTTATATTTCAATTATATTTAAATTCAAGCACCTTTACTTTATGCTCTTGTTCTTCGTTTCATCACGTTTCACCTTCAATCCTCATCTCCACCCACTCCACATCACTTGGTTGCTCATATAAAGCCTTGACTCCGAGGTAGTGAAAGAACCTAGGCAGTCAGGAGGTTCCTTGCTTGGCTGAACAATCATTTGATTAAAGTTAAATCTCGGACACATAATCTACTGACATTCCATTCAAGCCAAATTCATGGCTTGGTGGTGGCACACTTTGTGCTCGATTAAACAAGGACCAAAAACTCCTTCAATCCGAAAATAGGGAAACACATTCCCAAATGAAGAACTATCTGAAAGGTTTTCAATATTAGTACAGATAGGAAAGCAGTACCTTCAATGTTGGTGCAAGTTGGAAAAAAGTCTCCAACAATGAAATCAATGTAATCTTCCACTCCATATATTTTAGCATTGTTAATAGTCACATCAACTTTAAGGGGATTAAATTCAATAGCAACAACATGATAAACACCTAAGAGACTAAAGATAAAATTTATTAAGCTCGTACACTAATCACTTGCAGAATGAGAATTCAAAAGCTTCTCCAACATCAACATGCATAAAAATGGCCCTTGAATATACCAAAGGTCCACCTCCTCGTGACCATCAAAGTCCACCAAGAGAGTTCAAGACTCAAAAACAGAGATAAATTTAAAACTAGTCAATTATAAAAATTCCCTATAAACTGATGCAAATAACCTACAATAGTGTAAGAATTAGGACATTAGGTCCCCCATCTCTACCTCTGCTATTCTAGTACCCTGTTGTATTTTTCAATATAACCATATATAGCATTTGCTACTATTTAACTATTCTAGCAGTTTGCTACTATTTAACTATTCTACCAGTAAAGTTCTCTCTCAGTTTCAGGTGTCCATATAAGACGCCAAACATCAATGGCTTGTAGCTTAAATACCTATTTTATTAGATTTCATTCAACTAGAGGTGCAACTAGGTAGAAGATATACTAACACATATATCCCTTGAATATCCAAGCCAAGCCATAAAGCTAAGAGCTTTTAAAAATTGGTTTCCATGTAACTAATAGTTTGCATGGATTAGCACCTCATTTCAACAATTCCATAAACAAGAGCTTTTCAGAAGAAATTTTTGGGACTTTGGCAGTAAACATCCAAAACACTCATAATTGGAGGAACAAAATATGAAGAAAACACAAAGTTATTGCATCAAAATCAACAACCAAACTTTGGGAGCTTATATTGAAGCAAGCTGAATGGCATTGCCGCCAACACAGGCAAAACAAACAATGACAGTTGCATTTTCACACCTCTTGGCGTGTATGATTGTAATCTCTTTAGGTGAGTACCACCCCTATTCATCCATTTTGATCCCCTCAAGAACATATCATATCTCTGAAACCATTACTTCTCAACAAGCGGACTGAAGCCTTCTTCAAGTAATGTCCTCCTCTTCTAAATTTGACCTAAGAAAACAAGGAACCACAAAAGGGATTATTTCAACTGTGTTTTGGTGCCAAGAAACTTTAGTTGCATTTGGTTGTCAAAGAAAATTAAATGAAGTAAAGAAAAAATGAGTTTTTTTTTTTTTTTTTTTTTTTGTGAGGGAAGAAATTGTCCAATGAAAGAGTTCAAAGTTAGCTTTTGTTCGTGCTCAAACCTAGATGGCCAGCAGTGGGCCCAAGCTTGAGGTGTGATGTGTTGGATGATGAAGGTGAGGACCTTTGGTATGTGAGAACATTTGGGAAACAGGATGTTCTCATTATGGGCTACGTCCACGGAGAAGGATATTCTCATTATAATAATGTGTGTTACATTGTACCAGGGGTTAAACTCAAAGAGTAGAGGAAGAATGCAGAAGGGTGAAGGGTGAAGGCCAAGGATCCAAAGGCTAGAAAATGGGCTCATAGGTCAACCCTTGATGTCCCAGTGAGTTATGTGGAGCCCGAGAAGCCAGTTCCTTTCTTGAATGATAGAGGTATCCTTTTATAAGTGAGGGGGAGTCCTCTTTTCTTGTGTTTTGTCGATGTGGAATTCCCTTCCCCTTGCTTGGAGTGGCTTGGAAGTGCTTGGCCAGGTATGGTACAAACAAGAGTCCCCCAAGTTCCCGATTAAAGAGTTACTTCTTGATTGGGGACTTGTAGTCTTCAATGCATTGGCAAAGCAACACTTCAACCTTTCTTCACTTTTTCTTGTATGTAGCATTGGTACTAAGTTGTTGAGCCAATTTGCTATACTTGCGGATCGTCAAAGGTAAGGGTACCGAATGGATAGAGTGCTGAATAGCAGCTTGCATGATGACAACTGAAGGCATACACTGCTTTAGATGTTGTAGGCATTGCTGCCGTAAGTGCTATAGGTGATATTTGACATAGGTGTCATTCATAAATTGAGGGGTGCCGTGGGTGAAAGGTGTTGCCCAAGAGGTGCTGTTCAGTAGGTGCCGTAAGCATTGTTTGGAAACCATTCAGCAGGCGCCACCAGCACTGCTTTAGAAAGGTGTTGCCCAGGGGATTTCACTCGACAATGGCATTGAAGCGAGTTGGAGATGTCCACAAGGTGTTGTTCGGCGAGACATGGGCATGTGTAATCTGCAAGGTGTCGTAATGGAGGTGTCTCCATGAGGTGCCATCCGATAGGCATGGTGTTGTTCGGTGGGTGCCTTGGGAGTTGACGAAAGTGTTATTGTTTGGTGCTGGGAGCTGCCGTAGGTGCTGATGGGAGTGGTCATAGTAATTAAAAAGTCATAATGATTAAACTATGGGTACTCACACAATATTTATAGTGCCAAATAATGACGGGGTGTCGAAGGCTTTGCACGTTAAATGATGATGAGGTGCCGAAGGCCTAGCTTGCATAGAAGGGTGACGAGGTGCTAGAGGTAACGCTAGCATCACTTTCGCCGAATGATGACGGGGTACCAAAGGCATTAGGCAAGTCAGAAAGGTGGGGTGCCGAAGGCAGCACTCACATCGAATGGTGATGGGGTGCCGAAGGCATGACGCTCGTCAGAGAGGTAGGGTGTCGTAGGTATCGCACACTAGGATGAGGAATATTGCAATCATTAAGAGACGCCGTTCGGCATGGGATTCAACTTTTCTTTTGCAAGCTTTGATTCCAGTAGCTAGGCAATGCATGGATTGTCGTACGATAGTTTAGGATTGCCATTGAATGGCTGCTTTGATCTAGGTGTCGTATGACAGCTTGGCTTGAAATGCATATCTTCTTCATGTCATTGCGGATCCTAGTGCTAGATGCCTATATGGGTATCGAATGTTGATTGTAGGAGGTGTCAAGGAGCACTGATTGTAAGGGCACCGAGGGCACTTGTTGTAGGAGTGCTGAGGGCACTGAAGAAGGAGAAGGACATAACCTTTTTGGTGGATTCCCACAGATGGCGCCAGACTATTTATGCTCAAAACTAGATGACCAGTAGTGGACCCAAGCTTAGACAGGAGGTGTGATGTGTTGGATAATGAAGTTGGAAGACCTTTTGTATGTGAGAGTATTTGGTAAGCAAATAGACATGCATGCAAAAGACAGATATACGTGGTTCACCTGAATGATGGGCTACGTCCATGGAGAAGGATGTTCTCATTATAATAATATTTGTTTACATTGTACAAGGTTTAGACCCAAACTGAAGGCTGAAGGCCATGGATAGAAAGGCTAGGAAATGGGCTCATGAGTCAGCTTGTGAGGGCCTAGTGAGCCATGTTGAGCCCAAGAAGCCAGTCCCTTTCTTGAAGGAGAAAGGTCTCCTTTTATAAGTGAGGGGGAGTCCCCTCTTCTTATGTTTTGTCGATGTGGGACTCCCTTCCCCTTTCTTGGATTGGCTTGGGAGTGCTTGGCCCTGGTTCAAATGGCTTTAAAGAAAAGGAATTGTATTTACAATAAAATATGTTGCCGTGAGGGTATTTTAGTTTCAAGTAGTTGGAAGTTTCAAACCCCATAAGAATTTTAGCACAAACCCGATTTATATAATGCAAAACATAAAAAGAATTAAAGTTTAATTTTCTCGAGATTTTCTTCACTTTTTCACTTTTTGGGTCACCAAATAGAAAAGACAATGATTAGGTGGCATGTGTAAGAGCTTGCGTTTCTTGGGACAACAAGCAGTGCTTCACCGCCTTGAAGCCTTCTTCTACATCCTCGAAGCTGGAATGAGAGCGGAACGGAAGAAAGAGGTGCTTCTCAACTTCTTACACTAAAAAAACCAAGCGAAATGAGTTTTCTTTTTCTTTTGCTTTCTATTTTTTTGTTTGTTTTGGTTTTACTTTTATCCCGAATGGTCCCTTAGGTTCTTGAAGTTATCACCTTCCTAAGATATTTTTGTGACAATTGTTCACCCGTTTTGATTTTAATCTTGTGATGGTAGGGTAAAGTTCCCCATTGGCTTGACAACCATTGGTGGTCAACAAGTCAACTTTCTTTTGTGCATGAGTGTGCTACTGCTAGCAATTCAAAACCCTAGCAGACTTTTAAAAAATAGATAACTTGCGCCCCAAGGTACTGACTTTTAAACAAGCAATTGTGAATTTGGGTGAGGAATATCTCCCAAGTAAGTTCCTTTCTTGCCTTAGACTGGTGAGGACTTCACAATTTTTCACTGTACAAAATTGGTAGTTCTGGCCAGAGTAAATGAAAAGAAAGTAAATTGTTCTAGGCAGAACTGCCTATTACAGGACTCAAAATGGAATGTTGGACTCAAAACAAGACAACAGAATGTTGGACTCTGCCTGGATAACTTCCTTTGAACCGGGCTGGATTGGATGTGTCTGTGCTAGATTGGATCGTCAATACCTTCAACTGATGAGTTTCAGTTGGAAATCAATACCAACGTTTGAGTTTGGTAGAGCTCTAATTTATTTCGGGCCATGGAAGGCTGGTTGAACAAGCAGATTTAAGTCCTCTTCAGTCTGGAGAGGGCAAAAGTGGTTGGATTGATGATCACTGAGTTGGAGCTGAGCGATGGTGCTTGTTCTGCTTGACCAAGGCTTTTGTAAATTTGTTGAGGTTTTCATATATGTGAAAAACCCTAACTCTGCTTCACTTGGCTTTGTGCTGAACCAAATTTGTAATGGTAGAAATCTCGCTCTGTAAAAGTGTTTCTCTGAACGGAATTGAAACCAGAGATTTGAGTTCTAGCTGACTTGTTTCTTGTGGTTCAATGAGCTTTGGTTGCTTCAGTGTTTGAAGGCTTTTGAGATCAATGGATCTTTTTGAGTTTGTCAATTGTGACTTTGAGAGTTTTTGTCTTGATTAATTTTTTGGCTATCCTTCATCTATTCACCCTCTCTCTCTTATTTTATGGGAAATGCTGGAGTGGGGTTTTAATCTTTGAATAATGGGCGACAAATATTTGCAAAAGATCTTTCTTTTTAAATGCCATAAAAAGGGGAAGTTATCTATTCTGGGAGGGAAGAACCATCAACAGTCAGTTCCCATGGTGGTGTTTTCCTTGCTTTTCCCAAAAAAGAAAATCAACTCCATTTTCTCTCTGTTTGTTCCTTGTGAAGAAGGAAAGGCACAATCTGCCATGATGGTTAGTTAGCTTTTCCTGTTGAACAACTCCCTTGGTCCTTACTTATCTCTTGAGAACGTAGCCTGCTTATCTCTTGGAAAGTTAACCTTCTTTGGTACAGAGCTTTTCTATGTATAAAAAAGGATTTCGATCTTCTTCCTCTAGCTACAAAGATTGAGAAGTCCTCCTGTAAGAGCTGCCTTCATTAACTCCGTATCAACTCCTCTGTGATAGTTGAAATTTTTTACTATTCAAAGTCAAGTAGTCACATGGGGCTCTTCTGGGAAAACATTTGTTTAGTAAGAAAAGATCTGCTGACTTGCTTTTGAGATCAAGTGGTGAGAATTCTTCAGAAGCTGAGCTTAATCCAATTTCTTAGAGGTTTTCGACCTACTTGGTGATGAATTACCATTTAATTGGCAATTTTATTGGTTTATTTAGTTATTATTTTTGTGTTTTTAAACCTCTGCCACTTTTGCAAAAGACATGGGCCTCTAATGTTGTTTGGGCTGCTTTCCTTTCCTGCAAAGCCCAAGACTGTTCATTATCATGGTCTTGACAAATTCTGGGCTGGGCTCGCATAATTTCAAGAAATTAGTCTGGGCTTTCTCTATTTTGGGCTGCTCTTCAGCTTCTTTTAAACATCAAGCCCAAGCTGTGCTCATGTTTGTGGGCTTGCAGAATTGAGGCCCAAACAATGCCCACCAGGTCTGAATCGTTTTTGAAACATTTCAGACTTGATGATTGGCCATTAAATGATGCACGCCATTTCCATCCATTGCAACCAGCCCTGGTTTGCCTATCCAACTAGACTTCGTGGGTAAGTGGTCAATTTCTAACGGCTAATTTATTCTGTTTAAAACTTTTTCCACTTTTCCCACGATCTTCTTCCTTTAGTTTATAAAATTTCTAACCTCCATCATTGTTCACTTGCAACCTAATTCTGCTTTTAGCTTTTATTCCTAGTTGAAGATGCCTCTATTCTTTGGCTTGTTTCTTCAATCCTTCCTTATTTGTTTGAATTCGAAAATGTCTTCTCCAAACACTCGTTCCAAGGGTTCTTCTTCTTCACGATCTCATGCAAACTCCACCCTTTTGCCCAGAAGAATTTGGATGAAAATGTTCTCCATCTTTTTGAGAACACACTCGTTCTGGGTCCTCATTGGTTCGGCCATGTTCATGAGGAAATGGCACTTCTATTCAAAGGTGATGCTGAAGCTCCTCTGTGCTTCCAGAGCTCTTCTGCCCTGGCTTCTCACACCTTAAGAATTTGAGTCTCTCCTATCCCTCCAGTTAAGTGAGGAACAGCGCGGTGAAGTGGATAGATTGGATCGACAAGCTTCTTCCAAGATATGGAGCTCACTGGAAGAGGGCTAGAATCTGTGATGCAATCCTTCTGTCCAAGCAGTCCATTAACAGAGATGAGAATCTTCTAGCTGTTGCTCTGTGTTTCTAGAATTTTACCAACAACACCTTCGACTTCTGCCTTGGTCCTATGACTCCAACCTTGCTGGGCATGGCTCAAATCTTTGGGTTCAGACGTCATGGAAGGCCTGTGGTCGTGGTTGGTGATTACCACAGGAGGAAAAACCAAGAAAAATTAGCCAAGCCATTCACCATCTCTCCTGCCATAATCAACCATAACTGCACCTCCAATTATCTAAAGAAATTCAGCACAGAGAAGGATGGGGATCAACAACACATGTTGTTTCTTCTATACTGGTTGAATAGATTCGTTTTTCCCAACTGTTCCTTAGCAGCTTTACTCGAATATAGACATTTGGCAGAAGCTCTACACAATCATACGGATGTGGGCCTTGATTTTATAGTTCTGCCTTACTTGTACAAGAACTTGCATACTGCTACCTTGTAGAATCCACTGAACTTATCTGCTCCTGGTGCATTCTGGATGATCCAGATCTGGATGCAAGTGTACTTCCCAGAACTGAGGTTTTCGGAAGTTGTTCTACCTGAAGATCAAGTTCTAGCGCTTCCTTTAATGTCAGCAGAAGTGCCCAAGAGATGGATTGAAGAATATTTGATGTTCTTTAGGCACTGCACCAAGAGGTCTGTTGCTCAATGGCAAGTGGTGCTCAAAAGGACCTATCCTTAATTCCAGCTTGGATACAGGCTATTTGAGAAGGAGCTAGAAGAAGAAGAAGCCAGAATTGAATTCAGGAAGAAGTTCCTAAGTGTGACACTACCTCGGGACCTGCCTTTTGGAGGTGGGAAGCCTCCCAAATATCGCTTGGGTGCAGAAGTGTATCATCCTAACTTCTATGCCAGGCAGCTTGGTTGCCCTCAGCTCATTCCGCTCAAGTCATATAGAAGCTGCAACTGGGCTACTTCTTAGAGGGATTCAGATGACCTGGAAGTGCACAAGGACTGCAGGTGCTCGGTGAACAAGATTAACAATAGCGTGGATGCTCTCTATCCATCTTGGGAGCCCAATTCCTGCAGTTCTGCCGAGTTTGATGCTTGGTGGAAGGCCAGGTTTGCTGATCTGCCTGCTTCAAGTTTTGCCCCAAAGGTGCTCTTCGATGGTTGGGACTCTTGGACTGTCTACGCAGGGGCAGAAGCCAAGCAATTCATGGTGCAGATGATGAAGGACATCAATGCGCAAGTGATTGAAGGTAGACTCTCAATTCTGCCTCTTTTTCTTTTATTCTGCATGTGTTTATCTTATTCTGTCCATGCAATGATGTTTTAACAATTTTTTCTGTTTGTATCAGATCCCTCTATGACAAAGAATCTTAGGGGACAAGCTGTTCAGGCTGGAGAAGTGTTTGGTAAGTTTCTAAATTCTATCCTTATGCCTTTCTCCTACTAGATTGCCTTCTAACTCTTCATGCTTCTGCGTAGTCACTTCTATCATCACTGCTGGAGATTTAGAGCTCCCTTTTGGAGACGAAGAAGATTAGTATGAAACTCTGGCAGAATAACCAACTGTTGAGGCAACTCCTTCTGCCAGAAGGAATAAGAGAAAGGAGGCTACCCCAACTCAGGACAGTGCTACCCAGTCTGAAAACTCAGGTAAACTTTGAGAAATATGACTTCCTGATTTTGTTTTGCTTAGTTCACCTATTATAACCCCTTGTCTTCTGCAATTTACAGCTGAAAGTCCCCCTTCGCCTAGTAGGTCAAAAAGACTTAGGAAGAGGGCTGTGGTGGAATATGTGGTTACAGAAGAACCTGCAACAGCTCCTACAACCACTTCTGGGACTGATAAAGAGCTGCGAGAGGCTTTTGAAGCTGTAGAGTAGGAAAAAGAAGTATATGTCTCAACAGGCGACAAGAAAAAAGGCAAAGAAGTCTAAGAAGAGGAGATTCCATTTTGTAATATGATCCATTTTGTATATGTTTTTCTTCTAATCTTGACTTCTGTCTATCTGTAGTAGGAAATTCCTGTTGAAATAATAGCAGTGACCATTGCCCTAGCCAAGCAACAACACGAAGCTCAAAGGATAGAACCCACTAGTTTAGAACTGGCTCTATTTGATGATGTGGAGGTTGAACATTCTGCTATTGTTCCAGAGCATGAAGTGGAGGCAGAACACTCCGTTGCTATCCCTGTTCCTAAGGTAACTTCTGTCATTTCTTCACTTTGTTTGGTTTTTGCAATTCTGTCTGTTTTTATCCTTATAATTGATGTTCCTAGTTTTCTAGGTAGAAGAGGACAGAACTGTTAGGACTTTCGTTGTAGTGACCAGCCCTTTCAAACCTCCTACTGTGGCTGTAAGCTTCATTGTGCCTTAGCCCTTTTCTTACTCCAATTCAGTATGGAACTTTTCTTAGCTCCTCGACCACTGCCTCCTTTGCCGATCCAGAATTGGCAAAGTTTGAAGCTATGGATCTAGATGCTCAGCTGGACAAGCTAGAGAAACTTAGCTCCACTCCTGGCAAAGCTAAGTCCAAAGCATTGGATAAGGTAGTGGACAGAGTGAGAATCTGGCAGTCAACTGAGCTGGACTTAGATGAGAACAAGTAAGTTGTTGACCAGTTGATGAAGGACCTGGATCTACTGTGCAGGGAGAACATGGCTCCCAGGCCTATCCTTAAGATCAATTTGGGCCTAGCAAGAGATGTGCTCAACCTCCATAACCACTATGAAGATCTCAAGCCCTCCGTCAATGCCTCTGAATTCTACAGGGCTACTCATGAAGACAACTTGGCTGATTATAAAAAACAGAAGGCAAAATTGGATGTTCTGGTTGCTGACTACAAGGAGACCAAGTCCACTATTGAAAAGCTAGAAAAACACATCGAGGAACTCCAGAAGCAGCTGGCTGGGTTAAGGGAGAAGTAGAAGAAGCTTGGGGCTGGACTGGGCACCAAGACCAAGGCAACCTTACTTGTGCAGGACTTGGTCTCAGCTTCTAGGCCAGCATTAGAGATTGCAGAGGCTTCTATCCACTAGGGAGTGCTACTCCAGAAGGAGATTTCTACCAAAAAAAACTGGATTGCAAGAGACTCTTTGAAAATTAGGGCTGTAGACTTCTACTTCAAACAACCAAAAAACATGAAAACACAACAAACTAAAAACAAAAAATAAATATTCACAAGATCTAACTACAATCACTTAAACAATAACTTCATCCTTTTTTGCTTCGATCCCAGGATATGTTTATATTGCCTGTGAATCCCACATGGTTGGATAGAACTTTTTTAACCATTTTCCATTGATTGGCGGTGCATGGATGTCCCCATCTTGGTCTTGTAACTTGTATGCCCCCAATCCAAGGACTTGCTTAACTATGAAAGGTCCTTCCCATGTAGGTGACCACTTTCCATAACCAGCAACGTGTGTTCCAAGGGATAGAACTGCCTTCCAGACAACTTCTCCTTCTTCAAAACTCTTGTTTCTAACTCTCTTGTTGTAGGCTCTCGCCACAACCTATTTTCCTGCTAAGTGTTTGTTGAGGGTATCAATTCTGCTTGCATCCTATCCCTCCAATTCCAACAACATTGCTTGTGAGTAGTCTTCTCCAACCAAATTATGTTGTTGGGCAATTCTGATGGACTGAACTGCGATTTACATGGGCAGAATTGCATCATGTCCATAAGTTAAAGCATATGGAGTCATGCCAGTTGCTTCTCTTTTTGAAGTTCTATAGGCCCACAAGGTTTCTGACAATTTTTCATGCCATTGCCTTGGATTTTCCTCAAGCATTTTCCTGATAATGTTGATAATCACCTTGTTGCTTGATTCTGCCTAGCCATTAGCCTGGGCATAATAAGGAGTGGATTGAAGTAGTTTGAACTAGAATGCTTCTGCCGTATCTGCTTGTATGCCAAACCTTTGCACAATTTGTTCTTCTATGACGGTAATGATCTCTTGAGATGTGGTGGATTTGACTGGCTTGGCTTCCACCCATTTGGTGAAATAATCAGTAGCCATTATGATAAAACAATGTTGTTTGCTACTGGCTGGATAAATCTTACTAATGAGGTCCATTGCCCATCCTCTGAATGACCATGGCTTGACGATTGGATTCATGGGGACTGAGGGAGCCTACTGATTGGACCATGTATTTGACAAGCTTCACATCCCTTGGAATATTCTATGCAGTCCTTCATCATGGTAGGCCATAAGTAACCATACCTTCTAATCAACCAACACATTTTTCTTCCTCCTTGATGAGCTCTCCAGATTCCTTCATGGACTTCTCCCATGACCTTCATGTATTCTTCTTTCCCTAAGCATCTTAAGAGTAACTCATCTTTGGTTTTCCGGACCAACTCTTCATTCCACATGACATAATTTAAAGCCATGATTCTTATCCTTTTCTCATATGGGAGGGCTGGATATTGCAGATAATTAATCAGGGGCAATCTCCAGTCCTCCTCACTCATCATAGTAGAATTGACATCTATCTCATAGCAGACTTTTCTTTGTACATTGTCTTCAAGCATCTGTACTCTTGTTTCTATTTGGGCCATCTCATTGGCTGCAAGGTTTTCTCCCCTTGAAATATGTTCCCAAGTGGCTTCCCTGAATTCTGCCAGGAGATTTCTGGCTGCCACTAAATAGACAGCTAAGGAAGGACTCAAACACTTGTATTCTCCCGCAATCTATTTTAATACGAGCATGGAATCTCCCAGAATTTCCATAGACTGAACTCCTAGTTCCACTAGCATTTCAAGACTTATGATCAAAGCCTCGTATTCTGCTATGTTGTTGGTGTCCCAGAGGCTAAATTGATTTCAGATCCATCAAAGTACAGCTTCCAAGCGGTGAGATGGACTGAATAAATGGGATTATTGAGGTAGGTGTGAGCTCTGGTCAACATATCTGCATTGGCTATGTCCATGGAATCCATATTCTCAATTTTTTTTCCTGGATGATGTACCAGGAAATCTGCAACACCTGTCCTTTGATGGACTTCTGAGGAACATATTTGAAGGCAAATTATGACAGGGCCAGAGTCCATTTACCAATTCTCCCTCAACATTGGCCTTGTTAGCATGTACTTAATTAAATTTGTTTTGGCAATGATGTTGGTAGTGAAAGGTAGCATGTAATGTCTGAGCTTTATAGCAGTAAATATAAAGTCAAACAAAGTCTTTCAATTGCAGAATATTTCCTTTATACTTCTGTCAGAGTCCTGCTTTGGTAGTAGATTGCCTGTTCCTTCCCTTCCTTGTTATCTTGAACTAACAGACTCCCAATTTGAGTGGTCTGCCTCTCTTTGGTGGGGACATAACTGGCAGATTTGAGAGGTAGTGCTTGATTTCCTCAAAAGCCTGCTGGTGTTGTTCCTCCCATTTGAATGCCTGTTCTTGCTTTAATCTTAACAAGGAGAAGAAAGGCTGGATTTTTCCTGCGGAATTGGATATGAATCTTCTGAGAAAGTTAATCTTCCCTAAGAGGCTTTGTAATTCTTTCTTATTCCAGCGTGAACTCCAAAAACGCATTTCTTGGGATTCATTTTCAACTTGTGCTGTCTCATTCTTAGGAATGCTTTCTTTAGATTGGATACATGGTCTCCTTTTTTTGGAGACTTGATCACCACATCATCTATATAAACTTCTAGAGAATGACCTATCATGTCATGGAAAACAGAATTCATTGCCCTTTGATAAGTGGCTCCTATATGCCCTATACACATGAAGGCTATCTTGTGGATGTCTTCTTCTGCCACCATTATATGATTGTATCCTGCATTGCCATCCATGAATGATAGCATTTGGTTATGAGCAGCTCTGTCCACCAGCATGTCTGCCATAGGCATATGATACTCGTCTTTGGGCGATGCTTCATTCAGATTTCTGTAGCCCACGCAGATTCTGACTGCCCCTGTTTTTCTCTTAAGAACTAATACAATATTGGACAACTAATCAGCATAAATGGGCGGCTTGATAAAACCTGCTTTAACCAGCCTTTCCACTTCTTCTATGACTTTTAGTTCTGTCTCCATAAACATCCTTCTTCTGGCCTGCTTGACTGGTAGGTATCCTTCTTTTATTGGGAACTTGTGCTCCACCAGTCCTCTATCCAATCCAGGCATTTCCTCGTAGTGCCATGCGAAACAGTCTTTGAAATCATGCAGAAGTGCAATGATTTCATCCTTCAATGGCTCTTCTAGTAAAGTGTTAATGAAAGTAGGTCTGGGATCTTCTTCTGTCCCTAGGTTTATTTCTTACAAAGGATCCTCCACTTATGGCAGGGAATCTAGTGCTGCTAGTGCAAATTTAGATTATTCCACTTGCAAATTTCCTTCCTATTCTTCTATACTCTCATGCATGAATTCTGCCATATTAATGGTTGGACTATGTATAGAAAGCTTCCTTTCTTCCCAATATACCAACAATCTATTTTGAGCTTGATCCCTTTCTTGCTATTTGAGCTAAACATCAAAACTCTGGAGGTTGAGAATGCAAGGCCTATTCCAATCCTCTAGAGAACTAACCAGATCTTCTTCAATGAGTTTCTAGGCCGAGACACCATGGGCACGACCGTTCTGGTTGACTCCGAAGAAAGTGAAAGGACCAAGGTCATCAAATGGCAGGAATGGCCGTGGGTCAGCCTCCACTATTTCCATAAAACCCTCTTCATGCCAGAGGGCCAACTGTGGGTGTAGAGTGGAAGGAACACGTCGACTCTAGTGGATCCAATCTCTACCAAGTAGTGCATTGTAAGTGGTAGAGGTGATGTCTACCACAAAAAAGGCAATCTTCAGCTTCTTGGTTCCTACTTTGACATCTAAGTCTAGTATTCCATGAGTCTTAGTGATGCCCCTAGCGAAGTTGGTGACTATTAGGCATGTTGGAATTAGATCCTTCTCTGTTTTGCCTATTTTAACCAGCAATCTATGAGGTAGAAGATTAATGGCTGCACCCCCATCTACCATTACTTTAACACCCCCAAGTTTGCTGTTATGAACAAAGGTCTGAGATGATTGGCCATTTCCTTGGTGGATTTGTAAAAGCATAGCTGTTCTGTGTCTATTTTCATGGTAGTTCTGCCTATTCTGTCAGCAGATATTTGCTGTTCTGGTGCCTCCTCCATTTATGCCAACCTGCACTCGAAATTCTCTTGTGAGAGTACACTCCTTCTAAAGTGTTCTCTTGTCCTTCTGCTACCCTAAACTTCTCTGATAGGATAAACACCATATTAATGCCTAGATCACCTTGTAACAGGCTCTCTAAATCTGCACCGGAAGCCTTAGTTTCATCATCTAGTTCTCCATCGTACTCCATCTGTTCTTCTCCATATTCTTCTGTCCAATCTTCTTTCTCACTTGTTTCAAGGAGTCCGATCTGGTCATCTGCAGATGGTTCATAGTCCAATTGTTCCTCTTCATATTCTTCAATCCAACCTTCATGTCCTTCTACTGGAATAGGTCCGGATTGACCTTGTGATGTGAAGGTTCTAACTGTTTGATTGAGGGTGAGGCAAGATGGATAGAAGGTTCGCTTGGAGATTCTGTCTTTGTCAGCTCTTCTGGTTGATATGTTGTCTATTCTGCCTGAGAATTTGCTTCTAGATTTTTCCCTTTTCTGGTAGAACTGACCTCTGGAACTACCTGTGTGTTACCCTTGTTTTTTAGGAAGGTGCAGTATTGCCTCTGGACTCTCCTCTTTTGTGTTTTGGTAAGCTCCAAAGTTGGTCTGCCGTTCTTTCCAATAGAATACCATTTGCCTTCTATGATAGTTGCCAAGGGCTTATCATTTCTGGGCATCTTAATTGGTATCTCCTTCTTTGGCTGCTCTGTCATTTTTCTGTTGCTTTGGGCAGGCTTTTGATAAGCCTTCTGCCTTGCTATGTCTTTGGGTCGGGCCAGAACTGGGCCCTGTTGGTATGATGTTCCAATCCTGTCAAAAACACTAGCTGTGGGCTAACGATGCCCATCCAAAGTTACCTTCAACTCACTTTCACATTTGCACCTGCTGCACAGAACTACCCCAGTTGAGATGTTTGCCTTTGATTTCATGTTTGCCTCCTTTGTGACTCTTCTGTTCATGTTGGGGATGCCTGCTGTTCTTAGCTTGCCCCTCTCCTGTTCTGGCCAATTTAAGTTGACCATATTGACTTGAGGTTAGGGAAAAGGGTCTGTTGTCATTGAAGGAGGTTTCTTAGCTAGTTTTAGCCTTCCTGCTATTATTCCTTCTTGTATGACGTCCCTAAAAACAACACAACTATTGGTGGAGTGGTTCCAAGAGTTGTGCCATCTGCAATACTGTCTGCCCTTGAGTTCCTCTGGCTTGGGCAACTTGTGAGGTGTCTCTATTGCCTTTTGGAGAAGCATCTCGTCAAACAAAGCGTCAACCTTGGTTAAATCAAAAGAATAGACATTGTTTTGTGATGATCACTGAGTTGAAGCTGCGCTATGGTGCCTGTTCGGCTTGACCAAGGCTTTTTGTAAATTTGTTGAGGTTTTCATATTTGTGAAAAACCTTGACTCTGCTTGACTTCGGTTTGTGCTGAACCAAATTTGTAACGAGAGAAATCTCGCTTTGTAAAACTGTTTCTCTAACCTGAATCGAAACCGGAGATTTGAGTTCTAGCTGACTTGTTTCTTGTGACTCAATGAGCTTCGGTTGCTTCAGTGTTTGAAGGCTTTTGAGATCAATGGATCTTTTTGAGTTTGTCAATTGTGTCCTTAGGTGTTTTTGTCTTGATTGATTTTTTGGCTGTCCTTCATCTGTTCACCCTCTCTCTTATTTTATAGGAAATGCTGGAGTGGGGTTTTTAATCTTTGAGTAATGGGTGGCAAATATTTTCAAAAGATCTTTCTTTTTAAATGCCATAAAAAGGGGAAGTTATCTATTTTGGTAGAGAAGAACCATCAACAGTCAGTTTGCTTTTTCTAATGAGCAACCTCCTTGCTCCCTACTTATCTCTTGAAAACATAGTGTGCTTATCTCTTGGAAAGGCCACCTGCTTTGGTGCAGAGTTTCTCTGTATATAAAAGGGGGGATTTGATCTTCTTTCTTTGGCTGCAAAAAATGGAGAAGTCCTCCTGTAAGACCTGCCTTCACTAACTCCCTATCAACTCATCTGTGAAAGTTGAAAATTTTGACTTTTCAAAGTTAGAAAGTGGGGGCTCTCTAGAAAAAGATCTGCTGACTTGCCTTTTTTGGGGTAAAGATCAAATGATGAGTATTTTTCAGAAGCTAGGTTTAATCAAATTTTTAGAGGGTTTTCGACCTGCTTGGTATTAAGTTACCATTAAATGGTAATCTTATTTGTTATTTTCGTGTTTTTAAACCTCTGCCACTTTTTGCAAAATCATGGGCTTCTAAAGTCGCTTGGGCTGTTTTCTGGAGACAAGGCCCATTCTTCTGTTTCTTGTCATGGGCCGGTTCTTCTGTTTCTTGTCATGGGCCGGTTTTTCAATTTGGCTGGCATGTGGAATTTTTTTTGGCCAAAACAAGTTAAATCCGACAAACAAGGCGATGATTGATGGAGAAAATCGAGATCTATAGCATCTGCTTTATTTAACTCTATGGCTACCAACTATCATCAATGGGGAACCGATAGAGGGCAACCAAAACGTGCTGGAGTACATGAGATTGAGGCTTTCACTGCTATGGCTGCACATAATGTCAATTCATTATGTGCAATCAACTAATGCAATTTGTGGAATTTGTGCAGATGTACATGCTACAACCAATTTGCCCAATGAGTGGATCATTCCCGGATCAAGTGAATGTTTTCAACTATCAGATGAATAACCCATACTCCAATACATATAACCTAGGGTGGCGACAACACCCCAATTTTCAATGGAGTAACACTCAGAATATTTAGAATCCTCCTAGGCAGCCACCTTCCCAGTCCCACCCAACAGAGAAGAAACCTGCAGTAGAAGATTTAATTCCTCAGCTTGCCCAATAGACTAACAATTTTATACAGGCTACCCAAAAACTTTGCAGGCTACCCAAAAACTTTGCAGGCTACCCAAACAACGTTGCAAAATCAACAAGCTTCTACTCAGAAGTTGGAAGTTCAAATGGGGCAATTGGCCAGTATTGTAAGAGAAAAAGGTGTAGTGCCTAGCCAAACTGAAGTGAATTTGAGAAATCAAGAACAAGTTAAAGCAATCACACTTCGGAATGGAAGAGACCACAAAAATACTCCTAGTGCCGAGACCACAAAAATTTCAGAAGCCCCACTACAACTCTATCTAAGCTTTTCCCTAAGCCAATGAAAGCTTATGTGCCACCAATTCCGTTCCATTAACTTCTCAAAAAGGATAAGAAGGATAATCAATTTTATGAAATTCTTGATTTGTTTAAGAAAGTTCATATTAATATTCCTTTGCTTGATTTGTGAAACAAATTCCAAGTTATGCTAAATTCCTAAAAGAGATCTGCACCAACAAGAGACGGTTTGTTCAGCATGAAAAGGTGATGCTTTCCGAGGAATACAGTGCTACAAAAAATGTTGCCACCCAAATTGAAAGATCTAGGGAGTTTCACTGTTCCTTGCACTGTCGGAAAATTTTCTTTTATGTGATTTGGGTGCAAGTATTAATTTGATGTCTTATTCGATTTTCCAACGTTGGCCAGCCACTCTGTGTAGGAGACCTCTTCAAAGAAATCAGCAGCTAGGAGCTTGTTGATATCTGCTTCAATGATGGCAACTTGCTCGGGAGCTAAGCTGCGTCTCTTCTGCGCTACTGCTCTACTGGCTGGGTTGACGTGAAGGCAATGATAGATGATCTGGAGATCAATGCCTGGCATGTTGGATGGCGACCATGATGTGTGATAGATCGATGCTACTTAAATCTTTCTTTTGGAAGCCTATCACGGGGTCATATTTCGCTGGAGGGAGGCTGGTTGGGATTTGGGAGATCATAGTGGCATTTGGTAGGTGGCTCCGGCATTCTTAAGCAAATTTTTTTTGATTATGAAGACTCTTAAGTGGTCACAATATAAACATGGTGGTGGAGGCTCTTTCATATCCTCATTAAGTTTACCCTTTTTAAGAATTACAGAAAATTACCATTTTGTCATAAATGTAGTTTAAGTACTTATTACATAGTACTGTTTTATAAGAAAACCACGTTAAGGCAAGGCAAAGTCACCCTTACCTTTAGCTTTTGGACAGCAAGCAAACCAGTCTTTTATCTAAAGAGCTGAACGTTTTGGTCTCGTGTGCGTTGTTCTACCAAAGGAGAAGTGGCAACTAACTTAGACCAACACAACCACACAACAAACTAGAAAACAGATTGTGTTCAGATTCCCTATTGAGGAATCCACATGCATGACTAAAATCAAGCAAGTGGAAACGAAGACAGCAAAACAGAAAAAGGAGAAATGAGTTTGCTCGGATTGTACCCGGTTTTGTGGAGCTAAGATTTCCCTATTGAGCTCAACTTTTGGTACAATACACAAAACTAATAGAGGAACAACTTCCATCACTACTACAAAAAACCAAATAGATGATGGTTTTCCACCGTCGTTGTGAAGCTTTGAAAGCCGTCGTTAAATCGACCGTCATCTTTTGGAGTATGTAAAGACGACGGTTTTTAGTAAAACCGTCATTGTTCTAATGTAAAGACGACAGTTAAAAACCGTCATTATTTATGGGTAAAGACGACGGTTTTTAGTTTAAAAGATGACGGTATTTTGTTAAAATCGTCGTCATTTATGAGTAAAGACGTCGGAATTTTGTTTGAAAATATCATAACAGGTATGGCATAATTCAGTTTGTGTGCTGCAGAAAACTATCTGAAATGTGCGCTGAGCACTTGGAAGGCCATAACTTGGAGCTCAATTAACCATTTTGTGAATGCAAGCACTCGTTTTGACACGTTTTTTCGTGATCTATACACTGGGAAGGAGAAGAATATTTTTTTAGGACAGGTTGGTAGATGAACTGGCACCCTAAAGTTGGTGTTAAAATGAGTTCAAACTTTGAAAGGTCATAACTTTGCGCTCGGGTGTCCGATTGGGGCAATTTTTTTTTTGATTTGATGTATCTTTTCGAGATCTATGACGTCCCAAGTCGCTGGAAGCGGCTTGACTTCTTCAGACCCCCAAAAAACGCTGTTTTCCGCTGTAAAACTAGATTACATCTTCCCAATGTAACAGCACAGACAGGTTTTCGTACATTTTCTTAATGTCATGCAAACTAAACTTCAGTTTTGAACATAAGAGACAGTAAGTGATCGGCGAACTCATTTTTTATGGGTCAAAAAGCTGTATTACGGTAGCAAAATAGTATGAAGAGTGGTGTTCAAGTACATAAAACTAGCAACAATATTCAAGTGTTTAACATTAGATGGGCTGGTTTTTGTTTTAATTATCAACTTCAGGGTCCAAGGTTCAAGTCACAGAGACACTTGGGGTTTTTTTTTGAATATTTTTTATTTTTAAGCAAGCTGGGTACAGGTTGCGAGCTGGCTTTGCGCCAGGTGTGCACATCATGTGCTGTGGACAGATGCCGAAGCAAGCTGCCTTGGGAATTTCTTGGGCACGCCATGGGCACTTCTTGGGCATGCTTCGGGGGCATGCGTTGAATGGGCACTTTTTGGGCATGATGTGCGCATGCTGTGTGCATGATGTGAGCAGGCAGTGTGCAAGGCAAAGCAAGCCACACCATCGTAAGATCTCTTAAGCAAAGTCACTTTGTCGGAATGCCTTGAATGGGAGCAAAGGCAAGGCTAAAGGGCAAGGCAAGCGAAAGCCGAAGGTGTAAAGGGCAAGGGAACGCGCAAGCCAATGCCGTAGGTCTAAAGGGCAAGGCAATGCTAGCCAAAGCCACGGCATGTCTAGGCCATGGGCACGGCATGCCAAGGCAACGCAGGGCAAAGCCGAAGCCATGGGCAACGCAAGGCAACGCATGCCATGGGCAGGGCAGGGCAAAGCCGAAGCAAGGCAACACAAGCCATGGCAACTCAAGCCACATGTTGGGCATGCTTTGAATGGGCATGCGTTGAATGGGCATGTCTTTGGCATGCGTTGAATTGACACTTCTTGGACATCTGTTGAATGGGCATGTCTTTGGCATGCGTTGAATTGACACTTCTTGGGCAACTGATGAATGGGCATGTCTTTGGCATGCGTTGAATTTACACTCCTTGGGCATAAGTTGAACGGGCACTTTTTGGGCATGATGTGTGCATGATGTGAGTAGGTACTGTGCAAGGCGAAGCAAGCAACGGCATCGTAAGCTCTCTTAAGCAAGTCACTTTGCCGGAATGCCTTGAATGGGAGCAAAGGCAAGGCAAGGCAAGGCAAGGCAAGGCAAAGCAAGGCACGGCAGGCCAACGCAAGCGAAAGCCGAAGGTGTAAAGGGCAAGGCAAGCCAAAGCCGAAGGTCTAAAGGGCAAGGCAACGCAAGCCAAAGCCGCGACATGTCTACGCCATGAGCACGGCATGCAAAGGCAACGCAAGGCAAAGCTGAAGCAAGGCATGGCTGGAATAGCTTGGTGTAGGCCACATCTTGGGCATGGCATGACGAGGTTTCAAAAATTCTGTCGATATTTTCGGCATGCTGCGCGTAGGCTTCGTGCATGATGCGCACAGGCTTCGTGCAAGCCTTGAATGGGGAGCAAAGCCAAGGCCAAGGCAAGGCATGCCAAGGCCACGACAAGGCAAGTCAAGGTTTGGCAAGTGAAGGCTTGTCAAGGCTTGGCAAGGCAAGGCAAGGCAATGCGAGGCAAGGCATGCCAAGGTAGGGCAAGGCATGCCAAGGCCAAGGCAAGGCAAGTCAAGTCGGGGCTTGGCAAGCCAAGGCATGCCAAGGCCACGGGAAGGCATGCCAAGGCCACGACAAGGCAAGTAAAGGCTTGGCAAGCCAAGGCATGCCAAGGCCACGGGAAGGCATGCCAAGGCCACGACAAGGCAAGTAAAGGCTTGGCAAGGCAAGGCAAGGCAAGGCAAGGCAAGGCAAGGCTTGGCAAGCCAAGGCATGCCAAGGCCATGGCAAGGCAAGCCAAGGTTGTGGCATGCCAAGGCAAGGCAAGGCAAGTCAAGGCTCGGCAAGGCAAGCCAAGGCCACCGCAAGGCAAGTCAAGGTTTGGCAAGGCAAGGCAAGTCAAGGTTTGGCAAGGCAAGTCAAGGCAAGGGAAGCTAAGGGAAGGCCACGGCAAGGGAAGGCATGCCAAGGTAGGGCAAGACATGCAAAGGCCACGATAAGGCATGTCAAGGCAAGGCAAGCCAAGGCAAGGCAAGGCAAGGTAAGCCAAGGCTCGGCAAGGCAAGGCAAGTCAAGGCTCGGCAAGGCA